GGAAAATTTCTAAGAGCTTACATCAATTATATATATTTGATGATTTGGATTAATGTTTGGATAGGTTGTAAATGAAGGTATATTATAAGTAATAGAAATCTTTGAAGATTAAAAAAAAGTATTTGTATTGTACGAACATTCATTGAAAACTTATCGACTATTTAGAATCTGTTTGACTATAGAAAAACATAAATTCATCAAAATGAGCATGACCAAAAAATGGACTAGTTATTGTATTTTGATAGAGATTGACGATGATATAATAAACACAACTAAATGATACTATAGACATCCGTGGTAGATGATGTTCTTCAGCGCACTGAAGTCATTGAATCAACTATAAAACAAAAATAATTAAGTCAAATTTATATTTCTAACAAATGCTACTAATATGAGAGAAAAAAGACACGTAAGATTTCCCCATTGTAATTAACCTAGAGGATCTGTTGAATTAATGAAAAGGCAACAATTATTGTCCGTACAATGATTCATATTTAATGAAATCAAACAAAGTTTTGGTAGAATTATTGTCGTAGAGTAACCTTCTTTAAGTATAGTGTCTCTTGTTTGTTCATCAAGTCCAAGTTGACAGGTTCATTGAGAAGCTAAATTTGAATAAAGCCATGATATATTATCTGTTGGAAAAAGACCTGATGGTGTTGGCTCATGATCACCAACACATGAATATATTTTTGTCAGGAAATCTTTGTTTTAATAAATCAGTTGTAAAACAAATTTCTTCGAGATCTTCGCATTGAGTTTGTTGCCATACGTCATATGCAACAAGACCACCGGTAAAATAAAGAAAGTCAATTTGTTCTTCATTTTGTACAATAAATATTTTAACATGCTTTCGATTGTCCTTAGAGGTAAATTACATGTATGATAATCACCCCAAAACCGTGCTCCTAATTCACCTGGTTTTGGTATTCCATCATGACAACAAACTGGTCGACTGTGATAAGCATTTGAACCAAGTTTACATTCTATATCAATATGTAGATCAGCTAAATGAAGAATTGAGAGAATATATTCGAAAGATAAATGATCATTCGACAGATGTGAAGATGAGAGTACTGGCTGAGTTAGAGGAGGAAAAGTAATATTACGTGGCAGAGCAAGAATGCCAGTTTATCGAAGACAATCAAAAGCTACATCGTAGATTTCATATGGTATATACTAGGATAGATAAAGAAAGAGTAAGCAAAAAAATAGCATGATTCCAGATATTAAAATTTTATTTGGTTCACGGGTGTGTGTAGCAAAAATGATGCCTAGATTTATATGCCTTATGGGAGAGAAGGGTGGAGTGTGGGTGTGGACGTGACAGTGGATGAACAAAGCAGCCACACCCACCTACCCACTTAAATAAGCGAGCTATAATGAACTGATATTGAATGCAATAAATCAGTATCAAAAGAAAAAACATCAAGTTGCCTATAGGATATTACTACATAAAAATGATAAAATCTGGGTGTGGGTGTGTGGGCGTGGGTGTGGGTGGGTGTGGGTGTGGGTGGGTGTGCGGGTGTGTGGGCGTGGGTGTGGGTGTGGGGTGTGGGTGTGAGTGAGGGTGCAAATATGAGTCTTGTCTGTCTTACTGGAGGTACACGTACATCCACATGCATACCCACATCCACACCCCACACCCACACCCACATCCACACCCACATCCACACCCACACTGACTCCCCACACTCACACACCCACAGACCCACACCCTCACCCCACACCCACACCCTATGTGAGTTCTTGAAAATATCTGTCAGTCAGCATATGTGAGTACCTGTGTGTAACATCCTTTTGAATCATACACAGAGGCGAGCTTTAGCATAAGCAGGTGGACAAGCGGTTTTTTGCTGATAATTGACTTTCATTTCACTATTAATGACAAAATGCCACTCAGAAAATGGTTTTTAGGAATATAAAAGAGTTTTTCGAAAAAAAAACTTTTTCGAAAAAATGTCGCTGGGTGGCACCCAGCCTTTTTTTTCAGAAAATGCTTTTTGTAAAAGCATGTTGAGCTACATGTAATTACATGTAGTTTAATGCACTGATTCCGAATATCACCTTCGTTTTTCCTCAAAGTATAATATGAATGCTGAAAACTGGATTTTCGGTGAAAGAACTGTGATTCGAAGAGAACTTCTAAAATAACCTAGAAAAGATTTCACTAATTAGCGCCGAAATCCGATGCAGTTTGACGCGCTGATTCCAAATATCGCTTTCATTTGTCTTCAAAGTATAACAGGGGTGCCTGAAACCGAGTTTCTTACCAAAAGCCATGGGTTTTCAGAAATTCTGTAGAATATTCTAGAAAAAATTTCATGAATTGGCGCTACTACCATTATTAGGATACATATTAAGGCGTATCTAGTAAAAATTTCAGCTCGATCGGACGTGACCGCTTCGTAG